CCCACCATCAGTCTTCCATCTACCAGTTGCATCCTCTTAATCCTCTTACCAGTAACTCAGTATCTACAGTACCACTCCCATCATTCGCTTTGAACTCTCTTTACATCTCTTTCCTCTTCAGCTCAGCTCCGTGCACGCTAAGCCGAATCATCCGAATGCTGCACATATCTGCCCTCTTGTCTCAGCGGTATCAACCCGTGGGGTATCCCTCATCACATCTCATCACACCCAGTCCGGCCTCCATATACACATGGTCTACATGATCGGCATGGTCATGCTGGCCGATTTCTCGAACAACATTCTCGTGCACGGTTGCGCATGCAGCTAGGACGGGAAAGAGAAACTTACCTCAGCACAAAGGAAAAAGCAGGACAAAGCATGAACATCTACACAAATGTAGGAAGCAACTCGTGCGAGAGGGGGTTCAAACTAATGCCACTCGAACCCGAGGTCTTCGAGGAGTATGTTGGCGTTCCATTCAAGGGATATAATTATATATATATAAATATACATATTGTTCGGGATAATTAGTGGATATGTCATTATATTCCAAGGTTCTGAGATGTGTATGTTCCTGGTCCGTCGGTCCATGTCCGTGAAGGCAACACATGGCCGGCTGCTTTCGAGCAGCATAATCTTTGGAGCAAAGACGAAAGGCCCGTCATCTCGGCCCGCTTGGCTTTGACAAAACATGAAACAACTGGCCCGAGGGCAGCTGAGCCAAAATGAATCAAAATGAGCCAAATGCAATGCAGGAATTGAGAGAAATATATGGAGGGAACAAACGTGTTTCAACATATTTCAACATTTCCACCAATATCATAGATCAGCTGGCTCGAGACTTCATTGCAATTGCCATCGGATAAATCCAGATGCCATCCATTACCACCCCATGTTTCAGATCTTGTCAGCGTAAGTACCATGACATACCATGACACTGCTGAACTCCTTGGGTCCGAACCATGAATCAAATGAGAAGGCACACCTGGACTGGCCCTGGCCAGCGAACCCAGACCAGCACCGGCAAGTCCGGAATGTCGAGATTCCGTTGGGCTTGGGACAAGGTAAACGGAGTAGAAGCGGACGAACCACGGCAACCAAATTAAACCAGCACCAACAGAATCATGAGCAGTTTCAAAGAAAGGAGCCCGAGAGAGAAAGGAAAGATATGGAAACATGATGAAAAATGATGAAACGTGCTATTTCTTCCACTTCACATGTGAATGATGAATGCGGTCAGCCTGGTCCCAAGTGCCAAGGCCATATCCAGATTCCAAAAATTGCTCTACCGGCAGATACTGGCAGCCTTTAGACAACTAAGAAGCTTGAGCCTTTAAGACCGCGTGAAAACCAGCAGCCAAACATTGGTGAACTTGTGATAAATTGTGATTGTTTATGGCATCTCAATCTTCAACAGCAATTCACTCCCTTTTCCAGCGACATTCTCCAGCCGGCACCAGCCGCAGCTGCTCCTTGCAGCAAATCCCAGCAGGTGGGCTGCGGAAACGGAAAGTGAAACGCAAATGGACTCAACTTTGGGCCCATCCTTCGCCAAGAGCTTCCGCGTTTGCGAGAGAAATGACATGACAATCATGAAATGACATGACAGGACTGCTTCTGATTCTAAGAGCCTTCAAGAGCAAACGTAATAAACATATCTTAAACAAATTACACTAAGCTGTCATAAGCTGTCTGTCCTCCATTCTTGCGGATACTGATTCTCGCAATTGTTCTCAACTATGGAGTTGCTTTTGTAACGGCGCTTTCTCAATGCCTACTCCGCGCCTTCCTTGCTTGCCTGCTTCCATGTGTGTCCCTCTGCTGTCTTTGTTAAGTTACAGTCAGCTCTCCTCTTCCTCTTCCTCTCTTTCTTACTCCGCCTTCTGTCAGTGTGGACGGATCGTTTTACGTGTCCACTCATCTTTAGAGATGTGATAACTCCAAAGCCAGCTATATGTAGGCAATGTTGGAATTGCTTCCTTGGATTCAACAATCACATTTTCCAGCTTGGTTGCTTTCCTGGGGCTTCTAGTTCTGCACTCATATTGATTAAGGTTCACTCTCTGACACTGTGTGATTAATGCTGCCTTAAGGATATTTCAGGCTTGAAGGGTTTATTCCTGCAGGCACACTGACCCAAGCCCACTGCCGACTTCCACAAGTTGAGCTATCTACAGTATATTCTTGGTATTCAAAGGTCCAACGTCACTTTGTGGGGTAGTGCGCATCGATGCCTGAATGTGTCTCTTATTGATTCTGATTGTCTATGTGTCTGAGAGTTTGGTGTCTATGTGGTCTTTCCCAAACATGGAGCCCAAACTGAATTCATGAGGCGCAGGTCACCTCACCTACCTACACGGTCTATACTCTGCAAGTCCCACAAATGAGGACAGACCTGCCCACGCTGCCCCGCGCATAGACATGACATGGAATGACATGGCTGTCAATAGTCAATAACAATCAAAAATGTCAACTGATGCCTGAGACATCTTGCGACACAGGTTGGAACTCTAGGGCCTGTTTGTATGAGAGAATGCGTGGCAATAAGGGCAACTATGACACTATGATCATACATTCATACATGATTGTATATATATATATCATACCAGTGACTAGAGGACACTAGCAAAGGCATGAAGACCATGACCAATGAACCAAGCCTCGTTGTGATCATGCTAAGCCGCCCTAGCGGCCAGGAGAGTGTCAAGTCGTGGACACTCTCCCAAATGTACCTGCAACATGCAGCGCCCGGAAAAGCTAGCTCTGAATGGCTCCTGACTCATGTTGTCATGCTGTTCTTGGGTGGTCTTCATGCTCTTACTGTACGCTTCTTGCAGTGTCTTCATGCCGAGGTGAATTTTATCATTCCGTATTTCTTTGACACTTTCATAACTATATAAAAATTATTTGATATCTACAATTATAAAATTAGGATTATTGTATATTATTGTATACTACGGCATAGTTATCGTGTTTCAACAATTTTCAACATACATTTTCTGTTTTAAGTGTTCATCAAATTTCATCACGCGAATGTTGCCGTGGCCATCTGTGATGCCAGGTCTCCGCCCTTGCAGTGGTTCACTTGCCCGCTGGGGCACGGCTTGATTCTTTTCATGTTGAACTTGGACCATGAAAGTGCCACATAGGCCTCAAGAAGTCTTCACTTTATGGACTTTATCCCACTAATCATATAGTAACATGATCATGATGTAACATGAACATCAGGATCGACATGCTTCCTAGATCTGGGGCTCTGAGATGAAATATCCCAAACTGATTTCATGGCAGTGATTGCGTTGAGGCGCAAACGCATTTCGCGTGAAGATGATCCAACACCAACCTTTTCAAACAAGCAGCAAGCATCGAGCATACTGCGGCGCGGCCATTGCAATCAAGCTATATACAGTAGTTGGTTGCCATGGCAGATCTGAATAAATCTGAGACAACTCCACAATCAGATGAAATGACAATGATGCCATTCCTGTCCATGCTGAGCCAATTGGGGGCAAAGCAATGCAGCGAATGAGGCCGGCACCGAGAAAATGCCGGGGACCACGGTCCAGTCTGACTTTGTCGTGTCCCAAATCTGAGTGGCTCGGAATGATGCTGCAGTTCCTCCACGTTTTTCCCGAGAGCGTCTGAGCGCAGGGTTCTTCCAATAGTGGGGGTCTGTAAAACATCTTCTCATCTTCACATCTTCTCATCTTCACATCTTCTATCTTCACATCTTCTCATCTTCACATCTTCCCATCTTCACATCTTCTCCTCTTCACATCTTCTCCTCTTTACATCTTCTCATCCCTCATCTTCACATCTTCTCATCTTCACATCTTCTCATCTTCACATCTTTTCATCTTCACATCTTCTCATCTTCGCATCTTCTCATCTTCACATCTTCTCATCTTCACATCTGCTCATCTTCACATCTGCTCATCTTCACATCTGCACATCTGCGCATCTTCACATCTGCTCATCTTCACATCTGCTCATCTTCACATCTGCTCATCTTCACATCTTCTCCTCTTGCCCCCTTGCCCTCTTGCCCTCTCCTTCTTTTCTATTTCTCTTCTGAAGGCGGGGGCAGGGGCAGTGCCAACGAGACGGCACGAAACGCAACCCTTTCGCACGAAATGAGGTTCGATCGCCAAAAACTGAGGTAAAATTGCGATTTGAAGGTGTCCCGCGCAACCCTTACACACGAAACGAGGTTCGATCGTCAAAAACTGAGAAAAAAATGCGATTTGAAGGTGTCCGGCGCAACCCTTTCGCACGAAACGAGGTTCGATCGTCAAAAACTGAGGTAACATTCCGATTTGAAGTCGTCCCGCGCAACCCTTTCGCACGAAATCAGGTTCGATCGTTAAAAACTCAGGTAAAATTGCGATTTCAACTTGTCCGGCGCAACCCTTTCGCACGAAACGAGGTTCGATCATCAAAAACTGACGTAAAATTCCGATTTGAAGTCGTCCCGCGCAACCCTTTCGCACGAAATCAGGTTCGATCGTTAAAAACTCAGGTAAAATTGCGATTTCAACTTGTCCGGCGCAACCCTTTCGCACGAAATGAGGTTCGATCGTCAAAAACTGAGGTAAAATTGCGATTTCCAGGTTCCCGTCGCAACCCTTTCGTGTGTAAAAGTGTTAATGTGTAAAAGCGTCTGTGTGTAAAAGCTTTTGTGTGCAAAAGTGTCTGTGTGCAAAAGTGTCTGTGTGTCAAAGTGTCTGTGTAAAAGCGTCTGTGTGTAAAAGCGTCTGTGTGTAAAAGCGTCTGTGTGTAAAAGCGTCTGTGTGTCAAAGTGTTTGCGTGTAAAAGCGTCTGTGTGTAAAAGCGTCTGTGTGCAAAAGCGTCTGTGTGTAAAAGTGATTGTGTGTAAAAGCGTCTGTGTAAAACCGTCTGTGTGTAAAAGCGTCTGTGTGTAAAAGTGTTTCTGTGTAAAAGCTTTTGTGTGCAAAAGTGTCTGTGTGTCAAAGTGTTTGTGTGTAAAAGCGTCTGTGTGCAAAAGTGTCTGTGTGTCAAAGTGTTTGTGTGTAAAAGTGTCTGTGTAAAAGCGTCTGTGTGTAAAAGCGTCTGTGTGTAAAAGCGTCTGTGTGTCAAAGTGTCTGTGTGTAAAAGCGTCTGTGTGTAAAAGCTTTTGTGCAAAAGTGTCTGTGTGTAAAAGTGTTTGTGTGTAAAAGCTTCTGTGTGTAAAAGCGCCTGTGTGTAAAAGTGTCTGTGTGTAAAAACGTCTGTGTAAAGGCGTCTGTGTGTAAAAGCTTCTGTCTGTAAAAGCTTCTGTGGGTAAAAGCTTTGTGTGTAAAAGCGCCTGTGTAAAAGCAACAGTGTGTAAAAGAGTCTGTATGTAAAACTGTCTGTATGTAAAAGCGCCTGTGTGTAAAAGTGTCTGTGTGTAAAAGTGCCTTGTGTGTAAAAGCGTCTGTGTGTAAAAGTGTCTGTGTGTAAAAGCTTCTGTGTGTAAAAGCTTCTCTGTGTAAGGGGTTCTCTGTGTAAAACTGTAAAACCTTGCTCTGATCTGTGTAAAAGCTTCTGTGTGTAAAAGTGTTTGCAATGCAAGCTATTCTCTTGTACTTGTGCTATATTGTCTTGATACTCCTCTTCTCGACTGCCTATAACACATCTTTAATATATTGTTTTGTAATATGGTGTCTCCATACTAACAAGAGAAGACCCTGCTCCTCTACGCTCTCGGGCCATCCGTCGTCTAGTTTATCCGTGTGAGCACTGTTTCTCTCAGCACCAGTCCTGTTGATCGTTTAAAATCGTCAATCTAACCAATCACATTCTTCGGCGTTATCTTTCCAGGCAAATGGAATTGAGCAACTCACAGACAGATCTCGCAAACCTCAGCATCGAGGATATTCAATCGGAATCAATCGAATATTCGAAGATATTCGAAGGTTTCATCATGTTTCATCAGTAGCTTTTCATTTTTTTCATTTAGCTTTGGGGCTTTGGATGGCTTTGGGCCTCCAGGATTTGAGCACATGGTGAGTGCCACGGCCGCCCTTGCAGCAGTCTGAGCACGAGACTCAGCTCAAGAACAACATCTTCTGCCTGAGAGCGGAAAAAGACAACAGCGTCTGAGTCTGAGAGAAATGATATGAAGAATCATGAAGATATATCAGATCAAGATTTCAAGTTGAAACTTGAAACATGGCAAGCAATTCAAAGCATGCCCGTGCATCATGCCTCCCCTGGCTGCAACTCCCGAGTTCGATGAAAACGTCTCAGCTGGGTGGATGGCTCCTGTTGTGAAACGATGTGAAACGCATGCAGCTGCCCCATTCCAGCTCCAAAAACATCGCGAATCTTTGTGCTGTGTGCCGCTGTGTGCATCGTGAAGTCCCTCTTCCAATCGCCTCTTCAGTCGCACCAGTGGTAGGGTACCCTGGCAGTGAGGAGTACTGCAAAAAGCAGTACCAAGCTGCACAGGTGTGCCCCTTAGCATTGCCCATCTCAATTGAATCCATCATCCCAGGCATCCCACATATCGCACCCTTTTTCCGATAGCCTGCAGGGCCTGGAGCACTTGCAACTTTTTCAATGCGGTGCAACTAACTAGATGTAACTAGTTGGAGTAGAGCATTAGCAAACCTGCTGCCTGTCTGTGAATCAGAGTCGGCGCGTGAGGAATGGGCTCAGGGTTGTCGGTCTCTGCCCTTCCGTCCATGGACTCCTCTGCTGAAATCAGGTCATGCCGTGCAGTTAGTGCAGTTCCGCATTGCAAAAAAAAATATGTTGGATATATGTTTTTTCTCTGAACCTCGCAGTAGTATGAAATAGTTTTCTACATGCGTGTACTTTTTCACTATGATATATGGTGTGGTATCATATGTGCATATATGTAAATATATAATACACAGCCATATACATAGACATACATGTGCATAAACGCATATTACAAACATATTATATATACATGTGCGCAAACACGTATATACATACATACATACATACATACATACATACATACATACATACATACATACATACATACATACATACATACATACATACATACATACATACATACATACATACATGACATACATACATACATACATACATACATACATACATACATACATACATACATACATACATACATACATACATACATACATACATACATACATACATACATACATACATACATACATACATACTGCGAACAGAGTCGCACTGGTAGCAGTTTCCCTTCCTCCAACACAAGCTCGGCAGTTGCTTTTCCTCAAAGCAGGCCAACGGATCTCGGATGGATGCGACACGCAAGTGTCAAATGCCAAGGGCGCCTCGCCCTATTCAGCGACCCAACGCTGTTGCAGCAAATGGCTTCAAGCGACTGTCCCGCCCACCTCAAATCCTCAAGAAGGGCCCTGAGCCTTCAGTTTGCTATGGAAAAGGAACATGTGTTCGTGACCGGTTGGAGCTGGGCATGGTGGCATTCACGCTGATTAAAATGGTGCCTTGGTAAAGAGAACTCAACGCAATGCTGTTCAATTCACACTCCCAAAATTTCAAACTTTCAAAACTTTGTCGAACAAGAAGGTGATGGTGCATTGCAAGAGGTCTCGGCGTCGTGCGATCTCAACCATTTCAAACGTGTACGTGAGTCTGACCTTGCCTTGAGTATCTCCAGTTCATCATTCAAACGGTATTTTCCACTTTGAAGAGTCTCTCGCAAAAAGGTGTTTTCCATAATCTTTGTTAACCCATCGGCAAGCTGGGCTCCTGAGTGCACCCATCTCAGACTTACATTCTCTGCCAGCAAATCTTTGATGCGACGCGCATTCAATTGAGTCCTAAACTCACTGCATGCCGGAGGAGCGGTGCGACTGACCAAGTCGTACAGACTCTTGCAGTCAGTCGCTACGGTATCTTCAGGCAACTGTTGTGCCTTGACGGTGGCTGTGGAAAACGACTCGGGCAGACCTGTCAAGGTCTGTTCAGGTCTTTGCCATTTGACTCGGGAGTCCAACATCCAGGCCCAACACAGGCGAATCCATGAGAGCTGATCCAACACGGTACTGAGTGACACGGTTTCTGCCGCTAAAGTGCTTGTCACTACCCTTTGAATCTTCTTACACCCCCAGGACATAGGATTAACAGGACAAGTGGTATTCTTGGAGATATCTTTGTGAGTGCTCATTATTATGCTTCCAGTGTGGGATTCTGGGTTTTTCTTGGACGCAAACGACGCGTCTGAAAACGCAAGAAATCTCAAGTCCTGACAGGCAATTGGTTGTATGTGAATGGACACTTTGGAATGACGTTTGGCTTCGTGAAGGGTCTTGTTGGCGTTAATGAGGGTTTCCACAGTGGCTTGGTTAATTTCAGATTGTAGAAAGCTCAAACGGCTTGCCAAATCAGGTCGGGTATGAACTGAGGCATATTGGAGGCTACCAATGAGACCTCTCAGGGCCATCTTTTCATCTGCGGTCACCTTGGAGTGTTCTTCCTTTCGGCGATCTTGATTGATCTTGATAGGTTGGATCTTGTTGATGTATTCTGTCTGTGAAAGAGTGATGCTTTTGTTGGGATGTTGAAACATTTCGATTCCAGTGAAGGTGAAACTGCCAACTTTCTGTGATCCAAAAGGGTACACACTTTCCAATTGTTGAAGCTTTGACATAAACCGTTCGTTACCACCACATAACCCATCATCCACATGAATGCCTATGACTCCTTCAGGCTCCTTGGTGTTCGGGCACCGCAGAATGAACGTACATGGGCAGAATGGAGATTGTTCAAACTCCAAACGCAAGAGTTCCTCTCGGAGGGCTTGAAACCATAAGTACGGTGCATCTATGAGACCGTACGCACTTTTGGACAGTCTGCAAATCTCCTCTGGCTTCAAGTTCATTTTGGTTGCCAGTTCTGGCACAGGTTCCAACCCTAGGACTCTACCCTGCTGAGGTTTTCCTTGGAGGAAGGCAGCTCGGATATCAAAAGACCGCAAATCCCATGACCTTGAGGCAATCAACTGTAGGAGCAACATCTTAGAATGCCTATTTAAAGTTGGTGAGTCACGAGGAATTTCTGTGATTTGGGGGTCCAAATATCCAAGTACTACAAGCCTGGCTTTGGCCTTTCGGGTATTGTTTGGCTTTGAGGGGTCTCTGTCTGATTCCTCGATGGGCTTCCAGGTCAAAATCCATCTGCATCTGAGAACTTGTTCTGGGGCTAATTGGCTTCGCAGCATTTTCTGGACAGTACCTGTTTTCAACCAGTTGGACACCTCAGCTTCCTTGGCAACTTTGAACTCAGCACGCTCTGATGCTGTAAGCTCAGTCAGTTTGACCTCTGCTCGCTGTCGCTTAGCGGCCGACACCAAAAATGACATCTCCTCAGGATCTGGAGAGTCACGCCACGCTTGTATGTCAGCTTCGCTGACCAGAACTTCACATCGCCATGTCATGCCATCTTCTGGTGTTTCAAGTGCATTTGAGTCAACATCATGACAGTATAGACCTTCACACACCAAATCATCATCATCATCGTCATCAGGAATGGGAACATCTTCTGGTTCATCAGGTCTGGGAATTTCTTCAGGTTCCCTGTCTTGGTTTTCCTGTGATGGCGTGGATGGCAAATCAGGCTCCTGGTCAGGTTGTTCTTCAACCCCTGAGTGCTGGGACGATGGTGCATGAGCATTGGCCTCTGGTTGGGGTAACCCTGGCAGGCTTTCAAGTGGCATTTCCATGGCACTGGGACCTCCTAGATTCATGACCCTGGTTATTCCCCCTTCGTTTTCCTGAGGAAGTTGGCGGGCAATCTCTGAAATCGATGGTTCATCAGGACTCCAAGTAATGCCTTTTGCTTCATCAGAAGTTACAGGTCTAACATGTTCAGGTGCGCATCGAAAGAGCTTGCTAGACATGGTCAACCAAACAGTCTGTTGATTCTCATGGACTACCACCTTCATGGGACCTTGCCAGTAGCCTGTGTTTTGGCCATGACCTTCTCTCCATGCCATGACCCACTCCCCGGGCTGATACTGACCCCGGTGGGGGTGCGATCTTCGCAGCATTGCGCGTCTGAGTGACGCATCATTGTCAGCACAGTGGAATGCTCTGCGGGCGGCTTCTCTCATGGCTAGTTGGGACCTAAACTTGAGACCCTGGGCATGTTCGGAGTCCGCAAGCATATGCGCCGGCAGGAGCATGTCACTGCTGACAGAACCTGGCAGGCGAGTGTGCTTGCCCAGCACCAGAACCTCTGGGGCATATCCTCCCTTCAGGCTGCAAGCGTTCTTTGCCTGGACACACCACCACAAGGCCTTTTGAAGATCGGTATAACTGGCAATCTCATGTTCAGTGCTAAACTTGGTCAACATCGTTTGTAGGATGGCTCCATGCCTTTCAGATCGGCCATTCTGGAAATGGGCTTCAGGACTTATGGTAGTGCCCCTGATATTGTGGCTTTGTAGGAACTCCATGAATTCTTCTCTGTTGAATTCTGATCCAGCATCTACCAAAATTTCACCTGGACTGCCGGCCCATGAGAGCCACATATTCATGAACACCTTGATGAAATCCTCGGTGGATCGTGATGGTGCGATACTTGCCATGTGAAAGTTGGTTCCCCAATCTAGGACATGATACATGTGAAACACCTTGCCCTTCTGGTTGGTCCAGGAGAACCCATCCACTGAAACACGGTCGTTGAACTCCAAGTCATCTCTCAGAGTGCTCGGTCGAGCATCCTTGGGCTGAGAGTTTTGGATGCAGACATCGCACCGGAAGTGGCGTGCTGCACGAACCAGCTCAGGTCGATAGCCCTGCTTCAGCATCATTGTACTCAATCTTTCAGGATTGGGGTGGCCTAGATTCTTATGAATCTTCATGAGGAGGCTTTGGTCCTCCTTGGACAACGCTTGCATGGTGGCATGTTGTTGTGGAGTCTTGTCATGGTGTACGTCATCATCCATGGTAGTAGATTTTGTTTCATCAGCAGTTACAGTGGACTGTGGGGTTACACTGGTACTTCCATTGATGGAGTTATTTGCGTTATGGTTATTTGAAAGGTACTTCCAAGTGGGCGGTGTCTTCAGAAGGTGCTATGGTTCGACTGGATCCACGGCAACCAATGGCGAACTGAATCATTTTGTCAGGCATCAATCTTTGAAGTTCTTGGATAATCAGGCTATCCCGGATGACCCTCTTACCTACCCTGCTAAGCAAAGGATCTACCATATCGAAAACTTTTGTCCAGGCTTCCAGGGCATTTTCACATGGTTGTTTGCCATCGAGCTTTCGCCTCTTCAGTGGCATGTCGGCTGTCATTTCCGATGACCTCGACAACTGCGGCTTTGCTTGGACAAACAGTCTTCGGCGTTTCATGGCAGGCTCATTTACCAGTGCAGGTGCATCTCCCGTAAACATGGACATGGCTACTGGACGTTCATGTGGAAAAGACAGTTTACACAACACCTTGGCCATGTCACGGGCAAACTTCCTAGGGTAAGCTTCCGAGAAGGTTGATCTATTCATGCGCTGTTGTTGAAATATCGTGGAACCTTCAATCACTTGATGATCATGATTTCCAAGACATCTTTTGTTGTGAAGACTTTGAGAAACCCTGGTGGAAGTTGATAAAACAGTCATTCCCTTCTTGATAGCTTTTCCGTTTTCAGGATCCTTTAGGTTTCCGGCAGTGCACATGTCAAAGTCTACGGCCAAGGTTCTTTGATGCACTTACTGGAGATACGGCAGCTTAAACATGAGGGAGGCTTGTGATTGCTCCCAATGCATATGATGGCCAACACTGCACTGGTGTCTGAGCAGCACTACGCCCAGAGCAATTTGCTCAACATGTTTGAGGCGGGACTCTTGCAAATTGTCCCAGGCTTCGAGAGACCTACTGCCATTCAATGTGGACCATCCAGACCATGGCCCGCAGGACGGTGAAAACCAAAGGTGTTCCGGTGACCGTGCAACAACTGTTTGAAACAACAAACGTCTACCTTCAGCCTGTTGTAGATCACACTGTGCTAAACCCATGCGCTCAGCACGAAACCCCAATTGTTGGACCTGGTGGGTAAGCTGGCTGTTTGGTCCACAGAAAACTTCCAAAAGCTTCAACTGGCCACGTGATCGCAAAATGCGGCAGGGTTCCAACATGACGGACTGCAGTTTTTTGGTGTATTGGCAAATCAAACTCTGAAAACGTTGACGTTCACGACATGAGTGCTTGGACAAATGATCAAACTGAGGACAATCATTACATGCTTCACCTGCAGTGATGAACCCCAGCATCTCGGCTTGTTCTAGACTCACTGTTCTACTTCGCCGGCTTCTCTCACACGGCCTTGGTTGACCGACATCGTCTCCAGATGGTGCATGATGGCTTGGATCGCGCCCTCCATCTGCTGCATGCGATTCTCCCACTGTTGTGACACTTCGGCGTGCTCCGTGGGCATGGACGCCTGACTGGTCACGTCCTGATCCCACACCGACATCTCGTCCACCTCGGTGAGGTACCAAGGGGCTGCTTTGGCCTTGGGCAGCAGGCCAAGGGATGGCTTCCCAGGCTCCTTGGTACAGACCTCTTTGGTCACCTGTGGCTGAGGCTCGGTGACGGGAATCACTTGGTTCTCCAGTTCGGCCCTTTCGATCTTGAGCTCGATGTACTTGATCAGAAGGCGGTGGACGCCCTTCGTGCTTGCATGGTAGTGCTTCAGGAACCACATCACCCACTGTTGGTCGGTGTTCCAGACCTCGAGATAGGTTCGTCCGGCATGTTTGGTTCCGAACTCCACCTTCATTTGATCCATCTGCTCCAGGGAGTACTTGGTGAGGTCGGGCAATTCCTCTGGCTGAACCACTTGCAGTTTCTTCAGACGGTTGACCAGAGACGACATGGGAATCACGCAACACGGACGGAGATTCAACGCTGGGCTCGGACGACACTTGAGACGATGTTGGCTTCATACACGAACTTTCAAAACTGACTTGACGGACCTGCTGACACTTGGACAAACTTGCATTTTGGGACTTGCTACTGACCTGAGAACTTGGGACCAACGGCGGTTTTCCTATGCAAGACTCTTCGACTGGCAGGCTTTCTTTTGACGGCAGGGAGTCGGCCACATGTGTTTCAGCCGATTCGGCTCCAGCGGTCACGTTGGCTGCAGGTGCTGCCAAGTCGTTGAGATCTATCAGAAACAAACCCTTGGAGGTCAGTTGCAACGGATACTCACACTGGTATTTCTTGGACCACATCACATGTTTTTCCACATCAATGACTGCTTGAAATGCACGTAACAGGGTGTTGGAGATCAGGAATGGTGTTGACCCTGGGACAATGGCTATTTTAAGCAACATCTCCTGCAAGGGAACTACCAGTGCCTGCTGACTCTGGAGTGTACCATGGTTACCAAAACGGAAAGTCACACTGCATGGACATCTGGTCAATCTCTTGCGAACAGCTGGTTTTAAGTTGCTAATCAAATCAGCAACCAGGTCACTTCCAATGACAGTCTTGGTGGCACCCAAATCCACTACACCCAGGCTACTGTGCGTTGCAAACAGCAAAGGTTCCTCAGCAATTGGCTCGCGGTTCACTTCACAGGCGTGTTCATTCCTCAAGGGCGGTTGCCGACCAAAGGTGAACACTGGATTTCTAACCCGAACATTATTAAGGGAACTCCTTAATTTACCCCTGAAATCCTCATGGCCTACTAAACTGAAAACACTAGCTTCATTCTGAGGCTCATCTATGGGTCCATCTTGGCTCTCGGGAATCTGCATGAACTCCATCGGCAAGGTGGCATCGGTGCTCACGAATGTTGTCGGGGCGGATGCCGTCGACTGAGAAGAGTGGCTGCCTTTCTCAGGACACTCAGCCTTCCAGTGACCTAACTTGTTACAGATACGGCACCTGGAAGACAGGATTCGCTGTTCAAGCGACTTTCGGGACGATGAATGTCCCTTCTGGAACTTGCCTTTGGCTCGTCCCTTGGAATGGCCTTTGGCCTTTCCACCACCACTAGAAACTGGCCAGAAACCTCGATAACGGAACTTTTCACTGAGACGACGACGAGCCTCAGTGTAGGAGTTGAAGGCGGCTGCCAAGTCCTCATCGTTCATTTCATCATCGGGTTCAGCGGCTTCTGCAAGCAAAGTGGCTTGATCATAGGTTTTGAATTTTCCACGTTTCAAACCTGTCATGTCTTGAAAGAACCCGGCTCCCAACATTCTGATTGCACTGCTCACCCTTTGTACTGAAAGGTCTCCTGACCCAGCGGCATCTGCATCAACGAGGACCTTCTTCTTGTCATCAGCACTCAAGGTTGACCCTCGGAGAGTCACATACGCCTGGAGACCTGACAATTTGAGATTCTTGCTATTAAGTTCAGTCCACATGATGTCTGCACGAGCCAGGAACGAATCGGCTGATTCGTCGGTCTTCTGTACACACTTGTAAAGAGCTCTTTCTGCATGCTCGTATTTCTTTTCTAATCCTATTTGACCCCAATGGCCACCAAGGATTTCAATCAGGCGCGTCACAGACTTGCGCTCATTTTCCATGAGCTCCGATTGGTGGAGCTGCAGCTTCATGAATGCGGATCCTGAACAATTCAGAATCAGCCGCGTAGTTAGCTCGGTATACTTACCTACTGGCCATGCATCCAACAGCAACATCACCTTCTGTGAGTAGACCTGCAAATCGTCCTTGGAGGGATCGAAGGTAGGCACCAAGGCAGCTATTTGGTTCGGCACCATGTTTGAGACTTCTGCACCTGTCGTAGGTACCGTTCCATCTCCACCTGACATGTTGAACCAGCTGTAAACTTGATACCCTGGATCTCCCGCACTTTCGGCAGCGGGGCTCCGCTACCAATGCGAACAGAGTCGCACTGGTAGCAGTTTCCCTTCCTCCAACACAAGCTCGGCAGTTGCTTTTCCCCAAAGCAGGCCAACGGATCTCGGATGGATGCGACACGCAAGTGTCAAATGCCAAGGGCGCCTCGCCCTATTCAGCGACCCAACGCTGTTGCAGCAAATGGCTTCAAGCGACTGTCCCGCCCACCTCAAATCCTCAAGAAGGGCCCTGAGCCTTCAGTTTGCTATGGAAAAGGAACATGTGTTCGTGACCGGTTGGAGCTGGGCATGGTGGCATTCACGCTGATTAAAATGGTGCCTTGGTAAAGAGAACTCAATGCAATGCTGTTCAATTCACAACATACATACATACATACATACATACATACATACATACATACATACATACATACATACATACATACATACATACATACATACATACATACATACATACATACATACATACATACATACATACATACATACATATTCGTATACATATGCACAATATGATCCCATACTGTATGTAATTATACATAATTTAGCATATATATATATATACGGTATATATATAATATATTATATATATGAGGTTTGTATCAATGAACAGTAAGAAAGTATTGACAGTATTGAACTATCTTGAAACTGTGACGTGTTGCACAGGTTCGCTTAATTACGGATCTCATCGGATCTCCTTCACCACGTTGCCAGGCGCTCCCAGCAATGCTAGGCCCAAACCAAGCTGTCCAAACAGCCTCTCGTCTCGGATGCTTCTCTGAGGACCATCACCTGCTCCTGGGGTGGTTCAAACAGCTCCACTTTAATATCTTTAGACATGTTTGAAAGATGTTGAAACATGTTGAAACTGGATCTCCAAGGGTGTCACAAGAAGACTCATTTCTGTTCACCCCTCTCTTCAAGATACCACAAGTCCTATTCAAACATTTGTGCCAATGAAACAGTGAGATGTCGAGATCGTACTTAGTTGGCGCGAATTTTCAACCTCTAGGCTAACAACAAAAAAATATAAACTGAAACCTCTCCAAACATGTTGTAACCTTGTGGTGCCCTGTGTGATAGCAGTGATTGATAGCATATAAAAAAGAGCGTAGATAGGTAGATAGATAGATAGATGGATAGATGGATAGATGGATAGATGGATAGATGGGTAGGTAGGTAGGTAGGTAGATAGGTAGATAGATATATATATATATAGATAGATATATAAAAAGATATATATATATATAATCATTATATTGCCCAAGTACTTAGGACAATGCATGTGAAATTTGCCTTGTTGCTCATTCCGGTTATGAACGTACCCTTCATCATGCAGCCTGCGTAATGGGACAATATTCTGGCAACTCTGGTAGGCCATATTTCTGAGATTTTATGAGTCTATTCATACATGAAAGCACAAGAAATTGCACCACTCGCTCCGAATGCCAGGGTCACGAAGGGCTGCCGCGCGTTCTGTCCGGCGGAAGCAGCGCGCTCCATTGAAAAAGCGGCGTAGAGCTGCCCCAGCCTTCACGGGTCACAGGCAATCACAGCGATCACATAGGTGTTAGATGGTATCAGTGCTTTGGCTGTGCAGCATTGTGCAGCACCGCAGCATTGTGCATGCAAAAGCCATGAAAGATCATGAAGAATGCAAAATCGCGAAAGATCATCAAACATGATTGCGCTGGTTCACTATAGGATGCTATATAATTGTAAGATACTGCAATATTGTATAATATATACTTACAAGGACCTTTAGATCGATCACCATATATATAAATATAATTGGCCCAACTCGATCCTAGTTGCATGTCTCATCTTCATCATGTTGCATGATATATTGGACGGCGTGGAATGGTTCGATGGCAGATGGTGGTGCAGTTTCGCGGACCAGCGCGTGCAAGTGCCAATAAAATCACAAACATTGCAAGTCTTCAATATAGGATACCCGGACACCCCAGTTTGATTGCAAGCTTGAGTACCTATCCGATATTTGCCGAATTTGAACCAAAAGGGACATAAAGGGACCATATGGATCCATATGGGGCCATGACGGACCATGTAAGGCAGTGGTTTGTCTATTTTGTCTGCTGTGAATGCACTCGCCATCGCTCGCCTGCTGGTGTCTTCACAAGTCTCGAAGAGTTGCGCTCGTCGGATAGGTCCCAAACCCAGCCGGCCATGGCCTGCAACACCCTCAGCACCAGGCCCAGGGCCGTCCAAAAGCAGCGAACCTGTGGCCAGAACTTGGCGTGCTTTGTACCTGGGCGCAGCATACAAAACACAAAGCAAAACACTTTCCGATCTTTCCGTCCAACGACATCCAACAATATCCAACAAGCCATGCTTCGATATCTTCGATTCTGGATTTAATCAGTTGGTATAGTAAAGCCATGTAAAGCCATTGCCCATTATGCCCATTGGATTCTGATGGATTCTGACATGAGAGTGAAGATGTAATTATGAAGATGTGACATCTGCGAATCACTGTTGATCACTGTTAATCATCGATTTCCACCTGTTCGCACTTGCGCAACACTGATATACACTGATCAAACTTGATCAAACCACTTCAATGCATTGGACGCACTGCTTTCATCTTCTAAACTGCCTATCTGGCCTATCTTCTTGAGTCTGTCAATGTCTGTCATCTACCTTGGTCCTGGATG